TTATTATTATTATTACTATTATTAGTAGTATTACTACTACTACTACTATTAGTGTTGTTGTTGTTGTTGTTATTACTATTGTTGTTGTTTATAATTGTTATTTATAATTTATACAATTAACTTTCCTGTGATTTGACCTCGGTCTTGCAGGGTTATTTATTACTTCGACACTCCTACATTTAGGAGAAGACATCAATCTTTTGGTTGTGTCACCTAACCTTTTTAAGATGATCTCGATCCAACCCGGCTAGGCTCGACCCAGCTTATATGTGTGTATGTAATATAATTTTTATATATTATATTATCATTTTTTTTAAATTCAAAAATATTTTTTAAAAGAATTGTGATTTTCTCGCATGTTTTTTCTATCAATTTTTCATAATATCAGGTTGTATATTTTTTTAAAAAAATATTATACATATTTGATACTAGAATATCTGGTTTTCTCCGAAATATTTCAAAAAAAAATCTTAAAACTTTTAAATTAATTTATCTTTTCAGAAGATAATATATATATATATATATATATATTGCATGTATATGGCTTAATCTTAAAAAATTTCCAAGCATTCATGAAAAGGACAAAAAATTGCATCTTTCTTATGTTATAAAAATTCAAAAAATATGGATATCATAAACAATTTATTATTATCAGTTGGGATTTCATCAAAATATCAAAAACCCTTCACTAATCATTTTTTATGGATTTTGATGTAGACTTTAATGTTTGAAAGTGTTAAAATAAATGCAATGTTAAAATTTGAATTTTAGAACAGTTAGGACTTCATTCAATAAGGTAAAGACTCTCTCACGAACGAAGATCTACCTTAAACCTTAGACTTGACCAATAAATAGAAACCCGACCTAGAAAAACAATCAAATAATAATATAGTTTACCTTAAATAGAGTGTACTAGGGGAATATGTTTTTCCCATACACAATCAGTCCCTTATCAATACTCTCGCAGACCATAGGTTCCTATTAACCATAATACTAAGTGATGACTTCTAAACCTGGATCATAATTTTATGATTAAACTTTAAACTTTTTCCTTCCCAACAATAACACCTCTTCAGGAGACATAAACAACTCATTAGCACCCCTGACATCGCACCAATGCCAGTTGCCATCATGAATGCTGGTGACCTATTAGTAGCAAATTTTGAAAATATTTATCATGGGCTCAAACCCTACCATTCAATAGAATTTCTTGAAAAAGAACACGATTATCCATCTTTAAAAAGGAAAAGAGTATCTCATTGCATACATGTAAATAAGAATGGTAATTTCAAAATAATCTTGAGAGGTGTTCTTGGTCAACTAGTTGATACACTCATCAGGGTGAGGCACTTGTGCCACATACTCGTTAGGTTAGTGACGAGTCATGAATTCCGTGTCCACAACACATATGTTGTTAGGGACATCGTTTTTAAAAGTCTATCAAAATAGTATAAGAAAAGAGCGATAATTTTAAAATAATCTTGAGAGGTGCTCAAGGTCAGCTGATCGATAAACTCATTAGGGTGAGGCATTTGTGCCATATAATCGTCATGTTAGTGACGAGTCATGAATTTCATGTCCATAGCACATATGTTGCGAGGGATATCGTTTTTAAGAGACCTATAAAGGGATTTTCTCTCCTCTTCTCCACCAAATGAGACCACCAATGTAGCACTTTCTCTCGTCCTCTATCACTTCTTTCAAGTTCTGGTTGAAACTCTTCTATCACTTCTTTCAGGTTCTGGTTGAAACTTCTCATCAAGGAATGAAGCGTTTCTATTTTTAGAGATATGTCTGATGTTTCTAGATTCCATTTTTGCTCTGGGTAAAAGATAATTTGAGGTCTTACTATGGAGTAGATTTTCAAAAGGCACAAAGAATAAAAAAAAAAATCACAAGCAAGATCCCAACAGTCTTGTATGGTATGGGACATATAAATGAACATTTTTCCCCTTCCATGAAAAGAAAGGACCTCAAGAGCTATAAAAGAGATCAAGATAATCTCCACTAGGCATGTTTGATTTTTTTCTATTACAAATGATATATTTATTTTTAGAGTTTTTTTTTTTAAATGTTTTTTTTCTTCCCATATAATACTAACTTAATTATTGAAAAGTCTCAAAACTCTAAGGAAAGGACCTTTTGCAAGTATTGAACATAATCTATTAGCTATTTCACGGAGAAAAGATAAACTAACTAATTAGATTTAGTAAATTAATAATTTTATCTGATGCCTCGGCTTGGCCTTCAAAGCCATGAGATAAAATTAGATCTCATCTGAACTGCATTAATGTACTGTCAGTTCTGCAAGCACCAATTTACCCCAAGCATTGGTTTATGCAAGGCCAAACAATGAAAGAATTGTACTGAAACCAGGATAGCTGCAAAGTTAGCATTGCCAAAAAGAGTAAAGCACATGTCATGACAGAAGGCCTTAAATCATCATTCATCAAGTGCTGGATATAGAACATGCAGGCATACTCTAGATTAAAAGCTCTATATTTCAGATATTAAAATACAAATATCATCATTCATCATGACAGAATCACAATAAGGACCAGGATATGTTTAGTGTATCTTTTTTCTGTTAAGGGAAAGCACGACGTTGGTAAGAATTACCTCACCATTCTCTGGCTGGAGTTCAGCGACAGTTTCCTTGGCCAGATTCCCTTGATTACCAAGCACCCGCTCACTGCACAGAAAACTAACAAATAAACCATACCACTTCCGCCTTTTTCGCTGATGAGAAATAAATCATATTATTGAGAACACATGGAAGGTCTTAGCTATATGAAATAATACTAGCATGTCCCAAATAACCTTATGCAACTAAATGAAAGTCAATTTAAGATAATTGACAACCAGCAAAGTAGAAGTCCAACTTGTTATCATAGGCGCACAACATGTGAGATACGTACATCAACATACTCTTAATTGGAGTTCCCTCCAAAAAATGGACAAAATTATCAGCCTCTTAGATCTAAATAGCCATGGTGGTCCATATCCCACTGATAAGCTTTTGAATCCATATGGACTGCAAAGAAGGCCACTTGCTATTGCATGACCATGCATCAACTGCTTTGACCGATAAAAGGAAGGAAGAAAAATCCATAAAAAATGGAATATGCATATGAATCTGAATCTGATGCAACTTTTATATATTGATTTGGATGGTGCAATGGGGAGACATAACATTCCTTAAGTATGGAGATGTATTAATGGGGGTATGCAAGCCACATTGATAATAAAATAGCACAAGTGCCTAGCTGATAACACGAGTATATAAAACTGATAACACAAGTATATAAAATGGCATGCATGCATGTGTGCAAAGTAACATATATACGCGGCATGCAGACTACAAACATATGTAAATGGCATGTATAGAAGCAACTGACAGCAATAAATATGAGTATGAGGGCTCAGAAACTTTGGAACTTTCACAAAAGCCTCAAAAGGAGCACAATCAACTAAATTTAAGACCAAGGTTTATAATCATTTGAGACCCGAGTGGTGCATCATTTGGTCCTTCATCAAAAAGATAGGACGGAAAAAAACCATAATCAACTAATGACTGGATTAATGGTTAAGCCATAGTTTCAGCCCAAGAAATCATTCACTTGCTTCGCACACTGCAACCCTCTTTCTTAAGGTACAAAGCAGAATGAATATGGTGTTAAAGGAGGGAAAGAAAAGAGAGGAGTATTCAGTTTTTGATGCTGCATGAAATGCAAAATTCCGTTAACTGCAATTGGTCGGAGAAGTGTCACAATCACTACAATAAGAAAGAATACATCTTGAATCCTTACAAAATTTAAGACCAAGGTTTATAATCATTACATGGATGGTGCAGAATAAAGTCCAGTAAGAGAACCAAAGATAGGAAATTCTACTATATCATTCATTTATTCCACATTGGCATTTCCCTTGTGATAATTCACATGACTGCAACATTTGATGATTGGGATTCACCACAGATGCCTGAAATCAAGAGGAGGAATCAGACTGCAATTTTCGTTTTTCTGAGCCAAAATAATCAATTCAGGGACAATAAGCAGCATTTCAGTATCATTTTTTCGTGCCTGATTGAATATTTTGATTGAATAGTAACACTATATTCCCCAGTTATTCAATGGAGATAACATCAGCCCAAAACACATCGCCAGAATGTCTTCATTCCATGGCAGAGTGGGATGCATAAGGATTGACCAAACAATGTAAGAATTCTTAAATAAAGTTAATGTAAGATATGCATGGATAGCCATGAGCCAGTGTAGTTCCACTCTAGACGAACTCAGGATAGCCATGGGAAATCTAAGATAAGACGATAGTCTTTCAAGGACGGTGGTGGGAATCAGTCAATTAATGGTAGAGGCAACAGATCGAAGAAATTGATTTTGGAGACTGAAAAGTAACCAAAAATGCGATGGATCAAACAAGAAACTAGGATTACTGGAAGAATTGATGAAACTGACAGCAGAGAAGAAAAGGAACAAGCTCTTGCAACAAGGACAAATCTTCATGCCAGAGTGCAGAATGCATCAGGAAGGCAGTTTAATCTTTTTCATACCAGAAAGAGGGAAATTGGAAGCTATGGAACTTCTTGATCGTCAAGGATTAAGAAAAGGCCTTCGGTCGTATAACATTATCTTGCAACTAGGACTAAGCAAAAGGATCTCTAACGCTAAAAAGCAATGTATGCATGGGATATGAGAACAATCACTCAATCCATTTCTCTCTAATTTACCATCCTTTTCCATTCTTGTTGCTCTCCGTTGTGACTCAAGTCACTGAAATTTTTATTGTTCTACATTCAAACATGGACTCGGATTTGGTCTAATCGAATCTTTAAAGAAAAATCTATTTAGATATGCAGGGATTGCTGGAGTTTCGAAACAGTAAAAACTGAAAGAATTCCAAGTTCGAAAGGTTCAATTACTAGAGATTCAAATTCAAAGATGGTGAGAGTATTGATGCTACGTACCTCTTGCAAAAGTCAGTGACATATCGCGATCCATTGTAGAAGATGAACCACATCAACACGATCACCAGAATATCTGCCAAAGTTTAGGGACTCGCAAACTCGAATTCTATTTTCAGAATTCAAAATGAATTAAGACAGAAAGATGAAATAAAACGGATCTATCTGATCTACCAAAATAAAAGAGGATACTGAAAAGGCAACGCTCCCACCAATCCAACATGAAAAGACCGAAAGTGACATTATAGAGGTAGATCTTACGTTGAACCCAGTTCATAGCTCTGACCATGACAACAGATTTGTGGGAGCCGGTAATAAGATCTGTTGAGAGAGAAGAGAGGTTGTTAATTTTGAAAGAGCTGAGTTCGGATCTCCGAGAAAGAGATTTTGTCGGTTGTAAGTTAAAACGGTTTGCCTAGCCTATTACTACATGTTACTATTGTTGGGTACCGGTCAAGCTTATCTTGAAATTCTAGCCGTTATGCTGTGTACGTGTGGACTTCTTGCCTAATTGTTGATGGTTTCCTCAATACAATTGTTGTTTGATTTTTGAGGAGAAAAAGGATGGATAGAATTGCCATCTCCTGTCTTAATAATGTTATTTTCGGCTTTACCCCCAAAAAATAAAAACAAAAGTTGTGTCACAATTTAGTTATTATTTTCCTCATAGCATAAAATGATAATGCATGTGCAATATGCTTGTTATATGTAAGAAAATTCATAGAAATTCACTTAAAAATAGAACACCTTTTTTTTTATCTTTTATATTTTTTTATTCTAAAACAATAAACAAATATAACCTAGATTTTTTTATTATTTAAAGTGAAAATCATATTGTTATTTTTCAATATGTAATTTCTATATTAAATCTCTAAAAACAAGTTTATAATATATGCAAATTTCAGAGAGAATTAGTACATGATCAGTGATCTTCCTCTGTTCTTATATTATTATTTTTTTAGCCAACAATTTTATTACGAGGATCCCCTAGCCTTCAAAGAAACAATGGGGAAAAAAAAAACCGTGGGCCAGCTGTAAGCTAAAGTACAATAATACAAATCCCGAGGAGGTATATGTAAACATACCAACCAGATTGACGAAAATGCCATGGAGCTGCCACACGTGACTCAACTTGTTGTCACTTGGAAGAACGAACAACGCGACAAACAACCTCCGTGTCCTGTAAAAACATCGAATTCTGTTACTTTTAAAAAATAACAGAATAATTATTTTTGATAGTTATTTTTAAAAAATATTTTTTATTTAAAAATAATTATGTTAATATTAATATATTAAGTTATCTAAAAATATAAAAAAATTAATTTTAAATTAAAAAATTAAAATTTTAATCAAACGTATTTAAAACACACTTTTAAATAACATCTTAGTCATCTATTGTTCTAGTGGTTAAAAAATTATAAAAGTTTAATGTTTTTAAAAATTATTTTTTATATTTTTAAATAGTTAGTTGTGATAAGAAAAAGTAAAAAATAAAAAAAATTATTTTAATACTAAAAAATTAATTAAAAATAATTATTTTTGGAATCACTGTTGAAACCGAGAAGGAGCGCTAAATATAAAAGAAATTGGGGCTTAGGTTTCAACCAGAGAAGAAAATTGACAGACAAAGAAAAGACATGGAGGGTGCCTTCGCCGGTGCCTCAGCTATTACTGACCAGAGGCAAAAGATCGAACAGTACAAGCACATTCTCTCCTCCGTTTTTTCCTCCAATGACATCGTTCAATCCAAGAAATTCATCGATCACAGTAGGTTTTCCTTCAACTGTTTTTTTTTTATCCTTTTAATTTCTTATGGCCTTACCCTATTGTTGAAAAACGACATGTAGTGTTGTCGGACGACGTACCGTTGGTAGTGTCTAGGCAGCTATTGCAGACTTTTGCTCATGAGTTAGGGAGGTTGGAGCCGGAGACGGAAAAGGAGATTGCCATTTATACCCTTGCTCAGATTCAGCCTCGAGTTGTTTCTTTCGAAGAGCAGGTCTCTTTTTTACGTTTTTGGAAGTTAATTTTCTTTCCACTAGGCTGAATTTATGAGAATGTGCTTCCTTCATAGGCGTTTTGCTAACAAAAGTCACTTCCTTTATTGTTGGTGATGCGAAATTTTTTATTTTATTGTATGAGTAACAGGTGCTAATAATTAGAGAGAAACTTGCTGAACTATTCGAGTCAGAACAGCAATGGTCAAAGGCAGCTCAGATGCTCAGTGGCATTGATCTAGACTCTGGAATGAGGTCTGAGTTATATTTTTAACTATAAGAGCATGCATTTCTACTGATTATTGAGATACCCCTATTTGACATTCTTTATATATATGTATGTATATATTTATAATTTGTCCTTCAGGATCATTGATGATACATTCAGATTATCTAAGTGTGTCCAAATTGCTCGCTTGTATCTCGAGGTATTGAATTTCTCATGCATGCATAGGATTTATGATGAACTCATCAATAGTCAACAACTTGGTAGTCACTGGACTTCTGTGGATATTGTTTGATTTTATATGCTTATTAGAAATTAAAGGCAGTTGTCAAGCCAGACTGTTGGCTATTTATATGAAAGTGAACACATTCACCCATCACCTTTGTTGGCTTGACTGCCGTAATACTTGCCATTATTCTGCGTTTGGGTGCACCTGCTCTTATCAGCATGTGCACTTGATTTTCTTCTAAAATTTTAGAGTGAGAGGAGTGATTTTTTTTTAGATCAATCCACATCTGGATGAAACTGTGCCTCCAAGTTCCAAAATCTGAGTTTATTTTAATGCTAAGTTGAGGGAATTTTCTTGCTTATAGGTCTCATAAAACAGTTTGTGATTGCTACTGTTATTTCCCGCTGTTTATATATGCAGGATGATGATGCTGTTAATGCAGAAGCTTTCATCAATAAAGCTTCATTTTTGGTTAGCAACAGCCAACATGAAGTGTTGAACTTGCAATACAAGGTTCAGATAATCAATTGGTTCCAAGGATGATTTAATAAAAGGCTGAAAAGTTCATTGTTTTGTTAAGTTGTTTGCTTCTTATTTCATGTTGTCAGGTGTGTTATGCAAGAATTTTGGATTTAAAGAGGAAGTTTTTGGAAGCAGCACTTCGTTACTATAACATTTCTCAAATTGAGAAGAGACAAATAGGAGATGAGTATGTAAAACTAGGTTTATATTTATCATGATTGTTTGGTACATTTATTTTTTTGTTTTCATTCTCTGTGGAATCTTGGATTCGTATCCAATTGTGTATTTCTAGTTTTTTGATATAGATTGTTATCGAAGCATTGAATCTTTTCCTACCTAATGCCACATCTGCTATGATTCTCACCAAATTACCTTAAATAAATTTTGGATATGGAAACATAATTCAGAAGACTGTTTACTTGTAACTAATGCATTACCTTGCATTTTATGCTTATGAATTATCCAACTCCATGTGAAAGTATATCGTTTAATAAAGCCTTTCATATTTGAATATTTCAGCTTGTTTTTTATGATTGTCTTTGTGCTCAGCTTTAAAATATAAAATTTATCATCTGCAACAAAAAATTGCTGCTGTTCTCAACTTTTAATAAATAAAATTTATTATCTGCAAAGAGATGGTGCACATCACCTCTCCTGTTCCTATTTAAAAATTGTTGGTGTGTTGATACACTGATATACATTGTTATTTATGTTATTCTGTTGTGTTCATCATAGAACTATTGATGAGGAAGCATTGGAGCAAGCTCTATCTGCTGCTGTGACATGTACAATCTTGGCTGCTGCTGGTCCTCAACGATCACGTGTTCTTGCTACTCTGTACAAGGTAAACAATCTTGCCATATGCACATGAGAAATTGATTCACATTATACTGCTGGGAGATATACTGATATATTGAGGCATGGTCTAGGATGAACGATGCTCGAAGTTAAAAATTTATCCTATATTACAAAAGGTTCTCTCTTGCTCTCTCTCTTTCTCACTCACACACACAAACACAAACACTTTCACCATACTGCACCAATATATCTGTTTTCATTTGTATGTTTTTTCACCCTCAATGCCTCCCAAGTTTTATTAATGGAAACCTTGTATGAATTTACCAGGTGTATTTAGAGAGAATTTTGAGAAAACCTGAAATCGATGCATTTTCTGAGGAACTCAAAGCACATCAGGTTAAAACATCTTTTCCACACTGTTTATTGATGCTACCTTCACGTGATTATGATTTATGATTGGTACCCTTTTGCTTATTCAACAGAAAGCACTTCTGCCAGACAATTTCACGGTACTGGATCGTGCTATGATTGAGCACAATCTTTTGAGTGCAAGCAAACTGTACACAAATATTAGGTTGGAGATGCAATGGTCTTGGATTACCTTATCCTTTAGGTTCCCTGGCATAACATCTGTAATGTTTTTGTTTTCCATTGTATTTTTGCTGTAGCTTTGATGAGTTGGGCACCTTGCTGGGAATCCCTCCACACAAGGTTGGTTTGTCATGATTTGCTAAGGTTCTCACTTGATGTTCTACTGATCATATTGCATGCCATGTTTTCCTTAAATATTTCCTCCTTTGATGTTGTGTTTTGAAATCTGATGGGAGTTCAGTCTTCCTATGCATTTTCATGGGTTTTCCATATGCTTGGATCATCTCAGATGATAAGAGCATGCATACTAGAAATTTTGTGCCTATTTAATCTTGTTTTACTCGTATCTTTATGTGCAATGCTTTATGATGCTTGTGTATTTGGGTCATGCTTTGAATATCAAGTCTCTGCTAGTGTTGGCCCTGTCCTTTCATTTTCCTCCTCAGAATATGCTTTAACAGTGCTTATCGTTTTTGGAGCTTGAACATATTTACTTTGCTTTGCAGGCAGAGAAGATAGCATCAAGAATGATTTACGAGGATAGAATGAGGGGAACGATTGATCAGGTATGAACTACGAAATTCTGATTGTGAGTTTCTAAATTTCACACTTTTGATATTCAGACTACATATCATTGTGAGGACCATGATGGACTTAGGATCATTTTTATCCTATTTTATTACACTATAGTTGAGCTTTTGTTGTGGCTTGCCTCATTCATTTTATCATTTTTTTTCCTGCCAGTAACCATCTGTGTTGCAACAAAACTAATATGTTCTACTGGGACTGTGCTGCTCCCATCACATCAAATTTAAACTTTCTTGGGGTTAATCTTATTTGCCTTTTTAGCCTTGGGCTCGCTCTCCATCTGTTTCCTAGCAAGTTTAGGTCTTCCTTGATTTTGCACTGCTGCATCTAATATACCTTGTTATGCTAGGTCGAAGCTGTCATACATTTTGAGGATGACACAGAAGAGCTGCAACAATGGGATCAACAGGTGGTTCCTTCCATGATTACAAATCTCATGGAATTTAACCAGTGCTAGGTTGCTTTTCAATTTGCTTCATATACTACATGTAAGCAGCTCTTAACCCTTGTCTTCTACATTATTTTGCAGATTGTTGGGTTGTGTCAAGCGCTGAATGATGTCCTCGATAGCATGGCAAAGAAGGGCTTGTCTGTTCCTGTCTGATTGGTTTTTTTGATAGCAAGTTAGAAGATGGAGATGGATGACTTCACGTATATATGCACAAAGGCAGAGAAATTAACTTTCCATGGGTTTCTCATTATTTTTGTGAAGTTAGAATATTTTGTAAGTTTTATTTGCTTGTTTATCTTGTTAAGAAATTTCAGTATTTACTCTTGGCAGCACAACGTACAGCAATTGAGTAATTTATTGTTAATTTATTCTTTTACTGTCATGTTTTTCTTGCCAGAGGTATGGTGGCAAGTCGGTTGCCGGTCTCGATTCATTGATTACATGTGTTAGTGTGTGGCCTTTTTCGAGCAGCCTTCGTTAGTACTGTATAAGATGTCTTGAAATGAATGGATTGCGTTTGCAGTACCTCGCGCTCAACTGAATGTTAAATAGTCATCTTTCTACCACTCGTTTTGGTTCCTTTTCTATTCGCTCTGCAACCAGTTGCTGGTCGAGGCGTTAGAACTGATTTCCAAGCTCGCAGCAGCAGGCTGCAATGCTTTTTTTGAAGGTTCAAGGCTGCATGTATGCAATTGGTAGTTTCTGTTTGTTTTTGTCGTCCTTGCAGTTTGCATTTTATCTTAACTATATAGGTGAAAGTGTTTGGTTAATTAATAATTTTGCATGGATTGCACTTCAAACTTTCTTGAAAGCTTAGTTAAAAAAATCTATAATTCATAATTGTTTTTCAATCTATTTTTCGAATTTCCAGTGGTTAAAAGTATTTTTTTTCTTGAAAAATATTAAATTGATTTTTTTTAGTAATTTTAATGCATATTATATTTAATGTATTTTCAAGTGTATTAAAGCATAAAATACTTTTAAAAAATATATTCATCACAATACCAAACAGAAACGCCAGGAAGATTCAGTTTGTGAAAGCTACATGAACACAAAATTCCATCAATTGCAATTGATCGGAAATGTTTCACGATCACTATAGAGAGGAATACATTCTTGAATCCTTGCAAAAATTTAAGACCGGGATTTGTAATCATTATAAAGATGGTGCATAATCAAGCCCAAGAAGAGCACTAAAGGTGAAATTTTCATGTCAGACCAGATCCGGGAGCATGCCACTATCGCTTTTTCCCTTGTGATCCGTTCACATTACCGGGATTCACCCTAGGTGCCTGAAATCAAGGGGAGGAATCAGACTTCAATTTTCTATTTCTTACAAAAAAGAATGAATTTAGGGACAAGAAGCAGCATTTTAGTATCATCCTACAGTGCCTGCTCGAATATTTTGAATGGACAGCAACACTATGTTCCCCAATTTTTTGAAGGAGATATCGTCGGCCCCAACAATTCTCTATAATGTTTTCATTTCATGGCAGAGCGGGACACAGAACGACCACCCAAACGACAGAATAAGATTATTTACAAATCAAAGTTAAAGATCGGAAGTAGATATCTATCTGGAAGTTCATTATTCCCACATGCCAACTCATTCAAATTTTGAAATAAAGAAGCAAGAAAAATATTTTGTTCAATCAAGCACCATCAATAGCACTGTTTGAGGCACTGATCCAGGATTTTTGGAAACATTGCTGATCCAAATGAATTCTTAAATGAAGTTGATGTAAGATGTGCATGGATTGCCATGAGCAGTGTAGTTCCATTTTAGACAGGTAATTCTTGAATAAAGTTGATGTAAGATGTGCATGGATTGCCATTAGCAGTGCAGTTCCATTCTAGACAGGTAGCAAGTAATTCAGAATAGTATGGGGGAAACCTAACAAATGTTGGGGATCAAAACAATAAACGAAGATTACAAGAAGAATTGATGAAACTGACAAAAGCAAAGCTCTTAAAGGTCACGCGTATGAGAAGATAAGCAGAGTGCAGAATGCATAGGGAAAGCAGTTTAGTCTTCATTCCAGAGAGAGGGAAATTGGAAGCTATGGAACTTCATGATTGTTAAGGATTAAGAAAAGGCCTCCAATCACATAACATTACCTTGCAACAAGCACTAAGCAAAGAGATCTCTAACACTAAAAAGCAATGTGTGCATGGAATATCAAAACACTTCAGGCAATCAAAAACAGATGTACTGAAGAAAAAGCATCCTGTACTGGGAGCAAGGAATTGCTTGACAACCTGATATAATTGAAATTTCTACTACTATGAATAATTCTTGTAAAACACCAACAACACGTGTTGGCTGTTACAGGTTGCTATTTCAATTCTAAAATCCACAACAATGTAATAACACAAAAGCTTAGTTCAATATAAAAGGCAATGATCTGTATGTGTATCAACGTACTCACTAGAGGTGGGGAAGGGGTGTGGAATGCAGTAAGTAAAAAATTCAAAGACAACAGATTAATAGAAAAGATTTGTCTTTTGAGGATTTGGAGCCAAAGTCATTAAATTCCTGACAAAATGGATACCGGACCAACAAGATTGTTTGAACTAAAGCCCTAACTTCCCAGGTGACAGCTAAATCCCAAGATACTGGCCTAGTACTGGTGTAAACATACATGGGCATAGCTTCTAATATCCCCAGATTTTAACAGAGTGAAAATAAGGGCTACGATGAAAGAAACTCAATGGGAGGTCCAGATGCAAAGTCTAGAACTTCCAGTTTCACTGGAAGCATAAATCTTGGTAAAGATCTGGATGGTTCTATGAGGGTATTCTAGTACCCTTTTCCTTAGCCAAGTGGAAAGAATAATAATCCAATCTAGCAAAGGAATGTATTAAATCCAGTCTATGAATTCTTCAGGCATGCCAAATATCCAGAGCTCAAAAGGTGTGTATACTATCTATTGCGACCAGTTAATACAATCCCTTCTCTACGACACAACTAAACTATGGTGGCTACAAACAAGTGATTGCCCCCAATATCATATTAAATCAACTGGACTCGGATTTGGTCTAATTGAATCTTTAAAGAAAAATCAAGTTAAATATGCAGGGATTGATCGAGTTTTGAAAAAGTTATATCTGAAAGAATTTCAAGTTCAAAAAGTTCAACTTCTGGCGATTCAAATTCCAAGGTGGTGAGAGTATTGATGCCACTTACCTCTTGCAAAAGTCAGTGACATATCGTGATCCATTGTAGAAAATGAACCACATCAACACAATCACCAGAATATCTGCCAAAGTTTAGTAACTCACAAACTCGAATTCTATATTCAAAATTCAAAATGAATTAAAACAGAAAGATGAAATAAAACAGATCTATCTGATCAAATAAAATAAAAGAGGATACTGAAAAGGTAACGCTCCCACCAATCCAGCATGAAAAGACCAAAAGTGACATTATAGAGGTAGATCTTCCGTTGAACCCAGTTCATAGCTCTTGAACCTGAAAACTACAGGAGGTTTGTGGGAACCAGTTAGAGTCGAGCTGATTTTGTTGAAGTCATTTCAAATAACCAGTTAGAGTAGAGCTGATTTTGTTAAAGTCACTTCAAATAAAAGAGGATACGTAAAAGATCTGTTGAGAAAGATGAGAGGTTAGTACGTTGTTAATATTTGAAAGAGCTGACTTCGGGTTTAATATCCTAACCATATCAAGTACAATTCATAATTAAGTTAAAGAAATTTTGATACGTCTAAAACAAAATGGATACTGATTCAATTCCATAAAAAAAAACAGCCAAAAACAAAATTAAATTAAAGACAAACGAAAACAAATTCAAGCAAGAAATTAAAATATTCAGAAACTGTAGAATCAGAAAATTAAGCGGGCCACTCTCTTTCCTTTCATTTTGTTTTTGCTAAACAACTAGGAATGGTTATGGATCGGATTGGGGACGGGTTTTTCACGACCTAATTCTGACTCAGAATATTTGCATCCACCAGCCGTCTCCGACTCCAGGTCAGCTAGTTGCTGGGCACCCGACCTGATCTGGTTTTCTTTAAATCAATTTCTCAAAGATAAAGTCCAAGCTTAAATTACATTACATCTCCATCTATAGATCATAAGAACATCAAATATAGTTCGAACTTCAAATCCTTGTATAAAATCATTAAAATCCTCCATGAAACTTCCGCATTATATTGAAAATTAAAATCTTCCAAGCATCACAAAAATAGAATTTCTATAAACAAATCGAAAATCAAGAAACTGTTAATTAAAGGCAACTTGTGCTACATTAAAGCAAAATCAATTAGTATCAGCAAGACAAGTTACTGATTGCAAATTCTGTTGAGTATAGACACTAAACAGTAATCCAACAAAATCTCAAATTGTCTCGTAAAATACACATTCCGTATTAAAAGCCAATTTCACAAAAATTCATTTCCTCGGCCTTGCATATACAGAAAAGAAGATTTGCGAGGATTCTCGGCAAACTGGAAGATAATTTCCAAAGAACCTAATTCAAGCGTGCTAAGAAACTTATGCAAAATTTCCGTCATCCCATAACATTGAATATCAAAACGTAATTCCGCTAACTGAGTACCTGTTGGTGCTGGAGACGCTTGATGCTTCTGTTTTGGGTGGAGAGGTTATAGGAATGAGGGTAGGGAATTGAAGGGTGGTGGGTGGTGGGTGGCCGGCGAAGGCACTCAACCAGAGGGATCTGCTGTGGATTGTGAGCTTGAGGGAGGCAGGGATTGGCTGTTTAGGGTTAGAGATAGAATCTGGTCGTGTCTTTTCCTCCCAACAAATCTTTATAAATAAACCCGGTTGGGAGTGGTTCGGATTAATTCTCTATCCGCCACTACATCCGTTCCGGTCAAATCGGATCTCTTAATTTATATAATTTTGCAAGTTCTATCTGCTTGTTTATCTTGTCAAGAGGTTTCTGTATTTCCTTTTAGGAGCACAACTTACAGCAATTGAGTAATTTATTGTTAATTTATTCTTTTCCCAGCATGCTTTTCTTGCCAGAGGTAAACTGGCGAGCTGGTTACCGATCTCAACTCATTGATTAACACGTGTTGGTGCTCGGCCTTTTACGAGTAGCCTTCGTTATTATTGTATGAGATGTCTTGAAAGCGTAATTATGTTTGCAGTTCTTTGCAATGTGTTTAGCTTATCGACTGAAAGATCAATAGAGTTCTTATTCTACTCTTCTTGCTGTTAAAGTCTTTGTTTGCGACCTCTTGTGCTCCATATGGCCTCATGGCACTTTCCGATGTCATTTCAAATGTTTTTCAACTCAACTACTACTGCCATTGGAGAATTTGCTGTTAATGGAGTTTGCATAAAAACCCTGATGTTCCATTCATCTAGGTCCTTTCCGCCTCCCCCTTCCATGTTCTGTTGAATCGATGGAACTGGAGCAGCAGGAAAAGAAGAATACAGGTAGAGATTTCAGTAAAGATCTCAAACAGGACCGCAAAAAAGAGAATCCTGACATTTCTAGGGAGTGCTTGCTTTCGTCCCAACAAATTCAGTCGGTGAATTCTCAACTAAATTAAAGCAATGAAAAAGAATAATGCTTTTCTTTTGATTTAACTATATATTTACAACAAGAAAAGACATCTTCCCCTTTCATTCCTACATGATCAAAGCTATGAGCTGCGATTTATACGAGGGGGAGAGGACTGAGTAACAATTGCAGCTCCTCTCACTTGATTTCCCTAGCAAATAATCGTTATGAACACTGTTACCTGTAAGAATGTATCCATCACGAAACACTACCGTAAACTATGTGTTTGGCGCAGCTCTAGATGGAGAGAACTTTGCAGGATCCTTTCCTAAGAGCACGTCATGATTGATGGACGCCAATTGTGACAGATTCTGCATCAAAAGTACATCTTCAATGACCTCGTTTAAAAAATAAACAACCTTCCATGGGGAGTCTAAAATTATGTTTCACGAGCCTCTTGCAACATGAAAATTTACATTATCCAAATGTTTAAACAAGCTATAGCAGCAGTTGCAAAAAATTAGAGTGTAAAAGATAACACCCTATAGCCAGCAGCACCCAGGAACATGATAATCCAACAAGGTCCATGATTATTCTGCCCTTTCCCCAAAACTCTCATCTAGTGGATAGTACGTGTGAGTGACTGAGCAAAGCATGCGTTTCAGTACTAAAACTTTTGAGTTGGTCGTACGATGTACAGGAATTCAATCTATTAAAACATTTCATCTTTAGCAACTTGCAAGTTAGCTTACCTTGAAAGAGAAATTTATCAATGAGAGATCAAGTGGAGAAGAATCAAAATCTGCAAGGTCACCACATTCATCCATCTGGCAAAAGAAATAGAAAACAATGAAACAATTGCAATCATGACTTCTAGCATTCATATGAAAATGGATAAGAGAAATCAGCTCTCAACCAAAGAAAAAAAGGAAAAAAAGAAAGTGTTGTAGAGACTAGATTAGCACCATTAATGCGAGTCTAGCAATGACAGATAAAGTAATCTTCATGCAATCACTCAAGTCCATGCAACAACACTTGTAGCTGATAATAAAATTTGTCATGCTGTAAAAATCTTGAAAATACAATATCATGCAATGGATAGATGCCCAATTCTCATATAACTCCTTGATGTAGTATCCATATAAATTATCAAACCAACTATTACTGCAAATATAAATACAAGACATCCTTCTGCTAATATTTTCAAAGACCAGCCACATGTCCCCTGTTTTGTGCCAGAGGGGTGGGGGGCAGACCAAATCCATTGATTCAAATAGTACAAGCAAGATCCCAGAACCCAGCAGAATCATGAAGTTAAATTAGGTTTCCTACCTCAACACCAGAATTTGAAGATGAGTCATGCATGTCGCTGTCAGAATGGCTACTAGCTTTATCATTTGGCATTCCAACAGACATTTGAGGAAACCTTGACACAAAATAGCTTGTGTCATCTACACTGTTAGGGTTTGGAACAAAGGCAGCCTATGGACAAAATTAGTAATAGAGAAGTTAGCAATAAACAACAGATTCCAGTGAAATTAATTAAAAAAAAATCTTGCTGGTGTCTATCAAAGGTTTAAAGTGAGGCATGCATAACTTTTTTATGCACATATAGAAACATTAAAACATTATGGAGTGGCCTAGTTGATGCCACAGCTCCACTTAGCAATAAACAGCAGATTCCAGCGAAATTATTTATAAAAAAATCTTGCTGGTGTCTTTCAAGGTTTTTATAGTCAGGCATACATCATCTTTTTATGCACATATAGAAACATAAAAACAGGATGGAGCGAGCTAGTTGATGCCACAGCTCCACTAAGCAAACGGGATTAGTACTTGTATACTTGTTGAACTTGGCCTCAGAAGAAAGAATTTTCACTATGCACAAATGATGACAGGTGTTTGCACTTGGAATATATTGGATTATATACAATGCAACAAAAAGCCCAGAAGAGATTATAATGGGATGATTTTGATACAATCAGATTTCAGACAGCACATTCTTGATTAGCAATATTCTCCTGCTGACCTAATGTTCACATAAATTACTTTTTTGGGTAACTTCGATTCCTGTTCCAGGATCAAATGACTTGAATGAGGTAATTGTAACTCATAAACTACACAAAAACTTCTGCTTGCAAGGATGCAAGTGACAACGTAGGGGGACAGCATGATTTTTAATCATTTTGAACTTGAGAACTATGAATCTAAACCTCCCATTATGAATATGATGGTATGAATTCACACCTTTTGCAGTGCAAGGTTGTCCCAATCAACTCCTCTGAAAAAAGGATGTGCTCTGACCTATAAGATTTCATAAGCAAGGCACAATAAAAGCCAATTTGAAAATTCATTAGGTCATCTTTCGAGTTTTAGTGGCCCAGGGAAAATATTTGATTCTTAATCAACAAAGGTATACAGTAAAATACAACCTCTGTCGATCCATTTGCTCCTAACCGTTGACTTGGATTATGAATAATCAACCTATATAGAAAAGAATTGAAGCTGAATGAGTAATATGGCAGTGTAAAGTTGAGTCCATTATTTGATGATAACTTATACTACAGAGTACACAAATAGCAACTTCAGGGCATAGGTTGTAAAATGTGAATGCAAAACAAATCCTCCATCACATCAAAATGGTAGATTTTCCATTTCATTACCTGAAAAGCTATGAGGTAATGAAAAATAGATATGAAAATAACATTGATGAGGGTGATGTTGAAGCGAAGGTATGGTGTTGCAAGGTTTCCATGAGTAAAAATTATAAATGGTTGGACATCATAAATTTTAGAGAAAAAAATGAGAATGATTATAATGATTATGCAAAGAAGTCGGTTTTGGCATTATATTGGAGCCTTGGTTGACACTGAATTATTTAAGGGTATATAAAAGTCTCATTATCAGTGTAATTTATTTAAAGCTACAGGATACAAGCTTCTAAAATTATCAAGCACTGTCCCAAACACTTGCGTGCACAAGTTCTGAAATTGCAAATCTGCAACTTCCTGTTTTTAAGCATCAAGTGAGTAGAGAAGATCACCCTGCAATTTATTATTGATGTTTACCCAAATAATCAATACTTTTCTTGTCCAGGACTTCTATCTATTTGAGCTATCAATAATCTTCTGGTGGTAGCATCCCATATAGCCAGTAATAGTTTCAAGCCTTACTTAATATATAGGAACACTTGTCATTTTCTTAAAAAAAAAGGTGAATTAGAAACTAAGATCAATTCTATTGTGTCAAGGGATGGAGAAAATAAAAGTCATTTATCGACATCTTACAAATTCAAAGCTGATTGCCAACCTGTTGATCAAGTCTTGGGCCTCATATGACATGTCATCAGGAACAGAAGGCCAAGGGATTTTTCTATTAAGAATGTTGTCAAAGATTATCTGTGGCCATGACAAGACAAAAAACCTAACACAATTAATTTTGAGCACAGAGTATAAAAAGAAATTATGTCCACTAACAGCATCGAGGAAAATCAAAAGAACATTAAATATAAACCTACCTCAGGACGTTCAGCAGTGAAAGGTGGAATTCCAGTTATAAATTCAAATAAGATTATTCCAACAGACCACCAATCTGCAGCATAACCTGCATGAATGCCAGAAGGCAACTTCACTTGCCTGGTAAAGTTGAGATGAATATAAATATTACTTTAGGTAGAAATTAACCATGCTCAGTTCCAAGAAGAATTTCAGGGGCAAGATAGTCAGGCGTCCCAACTGCTGAGTGCCGATTTCTGTCCTCTGTTTGTTGAGCATTTGGATTAGGAGGATCTGAAGGTACATTTCTATCTATATCCGGTCCTGATAAATCAATGGTGCTGTTTATAAGGCCAATTTTTGATAATCCGAAGTCTGTAAGCTGGTCACATATACAATCATTAGTACATCACCCCTAGCAAGAACTGAAGCTGATGCAGAACACTCAAAACTACAAGATATAGGGATAAATATGGACATTTTATTTGATGCATGTTAGACGAGAATCACCTATCTGGCAAGAAAACTAAAAGGATGTTGCCAAATGTTTTAGCCAATAGATTCATTCAATACTCCAGTTCCTAAAAACCACAGTAATATATGTGCAAAAGCAACGTTGAAAGTGCACTAGGTCAATTCTGCAACCAAGAGAATATATATAAATATAAACTATTATCCCCCATGCGAGCAGATTGAGAACAACAATTATTTATGCAAGAGCGCATCATCAAAAATGCACAAAGTGTATGTGCTCACATCCACCACCTGCATAGATGCACACATTCCAAGGAGACACGTGCAAATATGGCTTATTAATGATTTTAACAATTTGTACATGTAGAAACAGTAAAATTGTGAACTATAAAGGCCAGACCTTGATGTGCCCATCATGTGCAATCAATATATTGTCTGGTTTCAGATCACGATGCACAATTCCATGAGAATGGAGATACTCTAAAGCAAGAACCTGGAACAGATATAAGCTATTTAAGTTGAGATGCAGAACTAAAATAAGCATATAAAGACATTCAAGATTTTGTTCTAACAAACCAGTTCTGCAATATATATACGAGCTATATCTTCCTCAAGGCAACCAACTTTTCTCAGCAAAGAGTATAGATCACCTCCAATAAGATACTCCATAACGAGATACAGGTTATCTCTGCAGGTGAATGAATAAAAAAATCGAACCTGCAATGATAAGACCCGTGTTTTTATAGCCCATTCAAATACAGAGGTTCAGAAGTTCTAGAAAGAAAATATTGACCATCATTTTTAATTGGCTATCTAATGATAGAAAGCAGGTCCAAGAAGGTATGGAAACAGCCAATAAAAGGGGTTGTGGAAGTGCTCAAGTTCAATGTAAATATGAAAGCAATCAAGACTTGAACATTACCACAAATGGGTTCCGAACCGTTATCAATATGTTACGCTCTGCTAATATGCGCTGAACATCATTCTTGCGTAACATATCCAATTTCTTGAGCACCTACAAAAGGCATTATATTATGAGAATATATACCAAAATAGTTGACCAATAATGGAAAACAGAAATGCGAAATTTGGAGAGAAATTACTTGCTAGCACATTCCATGAGAATAATGGATAAATAGAGATGCTTTTTAGCACTTTGACAAAGACCTATGATGAACACAAAGATTTATAGATTACAACAAGCTGCCCAGCTTCCATAATGACCCATTGTTCAATAAGTGATATGGGTAGAATTAAACTGCTAAGATTTAAGGCTTTGTTTGGTAGAGCTGATAGGTGATAATTGTTTTACATTAGCAATAAGGTGAAGAACATATTAAAATGCACATATTAAAGTCACATTTCTAGCTCATACAGCTAAACCTTAATTACCACCTAGCTTAGCTAGTTCCCCTAACCTGCCCAACTTGATCCATGATTTTTTAGCCTTTTTCTACACTCTGTAGTGCCTTCAAGCTCAAGAGCAAAAAATTCATTTTGCTGCAATGGTACGTATTCATTTATATAATCAACTGCTGCAGCAGACCTTTTCTGCCTCAACTCATCAACCTGGCACCAACATGTAGCTTATGTACTTATGCATAGGCCTCTATTTTTTTTACATGGAGCACAAATCAATTAGAAACATGGAGCTTGCTGCAAAATTTCCATACAAAGAACAACTTGCATATGCCTCACTTGCAAACCAACTGGCGTTGGCATTGATTTTTTACCTTTATTGCAAATAGATCTCCTGTTGTTCGTTTGCGTGCAAGAAAGACTTTTCCAAAGGCACCTCTACTAATTGGTTTAATGATTTCAAAATCATCAATGCTTGTCCGCTCTTTATTTGATACATGCACAGGTGTAGAGGCCGCACTGCTTTGAGATGCATTATCAAATGGAAGTCTCAAGTTTTCCTTGGATCTCTCATCAATAATTGGACTTTTTGTATCCATTAAATCACAAGCAAGTATATACTTTTCCCTGCATTTGACATTAATAATTCAACAACTTGAGTGTTGTAGTAATATAACAAATCTCTTTCAAATACTCTAGAATTACCGCAGAAGTTTCTCTATTCGGCCTCCAAAAGTGTCAATTACAAGAGCTTTGAGTTTGCTATGCTGTAAAACATCCTGCAAATCTTGCATACAAGCGAGCAAAAATTCAGATGACCCTTCTTTTGAAAGATCAGTGCCTGCCACACAGCGTGCTATGTCTGCTAGGTCAATCATCTGCCAGAAAAAACAAATGAATATGATAGAGTGCAGATTCATTCTTCATTTAACCTTGTAAGAATAACTATGTCTATAAGGAACAAGAACTGAATGCTTGAAGAATACTAATAAATATACTAAAAGAAATGCTAATAAATTACTAGAAAGAATAGCTACGATGCTTAACTGCCAAAAAATAATCTCAAAAGAAAAGAATTGATAAGGATGCCATCATTTAACACTAAATGCATAGCAGAAGTTGTGACTTTCAAAAACTGCTATCATGGAGAGTTGGGTACCATGAATGATCCAATTTAGGAGAAAAAGAAAGTTTTATACCCCATTTAAGTAACATAACCATCCATGACATGATTACAAACCTCAAATGCTCAAACTAGGTCTAGCTTCAAACAAGTGAAGGGCGATGGCCACCAACTTAAGATTTTTTCTACATTTTTCTCTAGAATTAGTTTTTTTCAATTGTAACCATGACAAATTCAAAGCTTGATTAAGCAGTTGAATCAATGGCTACAAGTGAGTGGCACAAGATAACCTCTAAAATGGAAAGTAAAATTGATTCTTGATAAATGATATTGCTGATGAAGTAGATTGCACAGTCTTAGAATCTAACTTTGTTCTCTATGTAAGTTTCAATTCTGAGATGGAAGAAGGTTTTCTAAATAAAAAACTTCTGCTAGAACCAACTAACCTGCTGGACATCTTCTAGCTCAGAAGGATTGTTGTGCTCTAACCAGAAGGAATCAAAATGACCAGCCCTGGGGGTATTTGCAGAGGAAATCGATGTCATGCTCCCAGCTGATGAGGGTGCACCATGGTTGGGTAACTTTGCACCCAAGTGGCCTTTAAAGTTAACAGAGGGGGAGTGAGAATCATCTATAAAGGCAGTGTCCATCTCATGTATGTCCTCAAACATCCCTTCAACGCCTCTATTTCTCCATTCACTTGTTTTGGGAGACTGACCTTCAGTAATGACAGAGTTTGTACTTTGTACTCTCAAATTTTCAGGACTGCCATATGATGGATGAAAATTCATATTGCGAGAGTCAATAATCTGCTCCAGTATCTCTTCAAGGTTTGAAAGGCGTTCATCTATGTCTACGAAATTCAAGTCACATTTATCCGCATATGCACATATATAAGAATGGGATTCGAGATGAGAAATTGGAACAATTTCTTCGCATATCCTACAGATTACTAAATCAGATCCATCTAAAACTCGCCCCTGGTTGTCAATAGGATCATCTAAATTTTGTCCCTGCTCATGAAGCGAACTACAGTTCTGATTGTAACTAATATTCCCAGCAGACCTGTTATTTCCCTGACAAAAATGTTGCACTTGTGAAACTGAGTCATTTTTGGATTTTTGTGATTGCAACTTTTGTTCCAAAAACAGAGAATCCTTGTTGGAATTTAAGTCACTCTGATCAGCTGGCTGTACAGAGCAGCAACATATTTCTGCAGGGAGAGAAGCAGTAATCTGTCCCTCCAACTTTTGCTTTACATCAACTTTCTGATTTAAAGCATAACCATTATCAGAATCAGCAATCCCACGCTTGGCAGCCCAGCTCATTTCAACAGAAGGGACACTTTCCAGACATTTTTTCAATTTCCGAAGAGATTTCTCATCAATTGGTTCACTGTCTTTCTGGAACTGTAATAGTCTTGTGCAGCGTGTCAATATGAAAAGCATGCGAGTAAACAGCCACTTGAGGATTCCTGTTTGACACTGTTGCCTTTTCTCTGTCAGATCTTGAACAATATCTTCACATTTCATGCGAAACTGTGAACACTTCATCTCCATACAGAATTGAGACAGTGTCAGAAGATCTACAGCCAATTTCCGCTCTTCTTGCAAGGAGAAGTCAGTTTTCTCAAGGACATCCATGGCATCCCCGATTAAACTAGCCAGCTCTGTGTTTGCTACTGCTTTAGCAGCATCAAATCTTGAATGCAGTGAACCCAACAGCTCCTGTTATCAACTCATGAGATAGAGAGAAAGAAAGTAGTAAAATTATTCTTGATGGTTAGAGTCAATGGAGTGAAACAAGATTTTCATCAAAGAAGCACATGCATAAGAGAGAAGTCTCCTTTTGTTTCGCATGCAAAGCAAATAATTCAAGAATCTTTTGGATGGGGTTTTAACCAGTTTATGGCATACCAGTAGTCACTTTTTATATGATATAACCTGCATCTCTCAGAGAGATAATTTCGAATATATGGGTCATAAGAGATCAACAATGACCCATTGGGAAAGGGGAAGTTAATAACCTGTTGAAGTAACAGGCTGTTGAAATATGACTAAGAAATTGATGCTACCATTAAAAAAAATATTATGTATCACCTAATCAAGTATTCTTTAAGTATACCTTCAAATCACTGTAGCTATGAGCCCGTGGTTGGGCAGGAGGAATGCCACCCTTTGGTCCTAATTCATGAGAAAAGCTTTTTAAGCCTTTTGAAACTTTACTCCGGTTTGGATTCTCTGATGAAGAGATTTCCTCATTTAAATAATTGCATGCACCGGTAAATTCAGTTCCTGCACGCTCCTTTCTATCAGGTGTCTTAGCTTCCAAATTCCCCTCCTGCCCAAGAAGATGCATGCTTAATTAGTGCTTCCACTAAAGTACAGAGTCCAATCAAGCATAGAAGTACTACAAACAAACCTCAGAAGGATGCCAATCCCAGGCTCACCTCAACATTTGGAGAAACATCATTAATAACTTGAATGGATTCCTTTGATAAATAAGATGTGATCCATTGAGCTATGCTCTTTCCTTTACGGGAATCTTCAAAGAACATGAAATTAGAAAGTCATTTCAATTCCAGAAATAAACAGCAGTGTGATATCAGATTGAATTGTTCACTAAAAACAGATATCTTATTTTACACAAATGATCACAGAAGGAAAGTGAATCTGTAGAAAGCCTTCAAAGAAATTTCCTGGACTAAAATATTAGCTTTTCACTAACAAGTACAGGATTCCAATCTATTGGAAGAGTCACCATATGGCATAACCTTAAAAGGAAACCATTTCTCGTTCATTCCTAATAAGAAAGGAACGGGATATGGTTTACCTACCACCACTCCAGGAGGGCCATCAACAAGAGGAAGAACAATGTATTTGATCCTGCTAGTGCCAAGGACAAAAACTAACAACTTAGTCTTGGCAAACAAGGACATCACTACATCATTTTAACTAGCCGTTATGCAGGCACATCCATCTTTATAGATTATGCTCGATATCCAACTAACAGAATCCAATTAGACCTTAAATCAATTCCTTCAGCTCTGCAGTGTCTCCCTCGCCAAATAATTCATTTATCACCGAAGGAAAAAAAAAATACTTCACAATTAGTTCTTATCCATAAAAATCATCCTCGGTACCTTCTTTAAGCTCCATCAACAAAAGAACCATAAGCCATGCTGTCAACTCTTATTTTGACCTAACTTCTCGTGAGCCTTAAATATTTGATAATTTCACCCAAGCACATGCCTCTATAGTGGGACTCCACAAAAGAACACAAAAACTAAAATTTCACACCAATCCCCTCACGTTTTCCTCGTTATCACCTTATTACAGTAACATTCTCTTCTTCAAAAATTTGAGCATTCCCTATAACTTGTTGAGATGAGTTGCCATCATTAATACCCACGCAACTAATTAACCCTGAAAATTGCATTGCAGCTTGAAAAATCTCAATCAACTAGGAATTGATCAAATCAATTTTACACAGTTCCGCCAATTGGATTCCTATTTTAATTGAATAACTGCTTAATATTTATAGTAAATAACGAGCTGGCTTTCATTTCCTTTATCCAAAAATAAAGAAGAAAAAGACAGCTGAGTTTCGTTTCGTCTCTATCTCTAGTAGATAGATTAGCTTATCCTTCTTTACTGACTACTAATTTTAATTAAGATTCATCTTAACTATACATAATTATCACCAAAAACAACGGAACAAAATCAGTCTGAGCTTTAAAATAAAATACAATCGAACCTGCTTTGAAAGAAGCGTTCTTTCCACGACCCTGAGCCATCGGTTTCTGTTTATCCTTCACAGGAGGCCTTGAAGAAGCTACAACATGAGTCTTAGACTCAGTCAACTCGTCAGGTTTTGAACTCAGTTGTTCCTTCGAAGGTACTCGCCGAGTCTTAATCCGATTCAACCCCGTTGGAATTCCATTATTAGCCTCTGCTGTTGATTCCTGGCTGCTCGGTTCCGTCATCTTAGAAATTTCTTCGAGGAAAAAAGTAACAAACCAGTTGACACTCGTTTTGCTCTTGTGATCTTTTTGTAACGGAAACTTAAAAAAAGAGGACAGAGCCCATGGAGATGCAAGCCAAAGTTAGTTAGTATTGAATTGACACGCCCACGCAAGAGCAAGGAAGGGTCGTTTCTGGTGGTTCGTTGGTTTGCTATGTTCTCTTCAAACTTTGAGAGAGAGCGTCAAAAAATAATGTATTATTATTATTATTTTGTAAGGCAAGCCTTTTTTTAAACAAAAAATAAAAAACTTTTTGGTGACTGTGGATTTCGGTTTTATGATTAGGAAACAATTGAAAAGGGAATAATTGAAATTATTAAATAAATCAGAAATAAAGATACAAAGCTTCTCACCATGTCATCGATGATCCGTGGAAATGCGACCTCTAAAAAGATTGAGTTTCTCTCTTCTACCTGCTGGAAATCTAAGGAAATTCCATTTCCATAGAAGAGAGAAACTTGAGAGAAAATTCTCTACTTTTTTTCTTTTATATATATATAGAAACACAGAGTGTACATATGAGGGGTGATTATGGATTAGATTAGATCCCATTCAAACCCGTAATCCGCTTTAATCGTTCGTTTTAGGACGGAAAATAATTTAATTATTTTCTTTTTAAAAAATAGATTTTTATAAGGTGGAAATAGAATCTAGTTTGTCATGCTCGACATCAAGTATTTAATTTTAGGGTATAAAATGTGGATCGCTTTCATTATGTTTATCAACAAAAAAATAGCCATAATATGAAATTAAAAAAAAATTAATTAATTTTAGTGTAGAAATATCACTTTCTACCTTGAGTTATCTACATTCTGGTCCGCTGAGTATGGCACTGGTATTCTTCCACTTGGATTGGATAGGGTCTTCTCCTAGTGCTCTCAAAATCAAGTGGAGGACACGTGGATTCATCGGTGGAGGAGATTGTACATGTGCAGTAATTAACACCGAACACATGTTAAAACGCGAAGGATACCAGCACTGTTCATGCACTTTTGATTCTTAAAGTTTTATTTTAGGTTATTTAATCTTAATTTAAAATTAAGTTTAATTGCTTATGATTTTTCAGTTAATAATAGGATTGGAAGAATAAAAACTGAAATGAAAAATATTTTAAATATGGATTGCCTTCCAAAAACTTCAGTAAAGATATATCGAAATTTTTTATTTTTTAAAATAATATAAATTATATAATTTTGATATCTCAATTTTTTTCACATTTAATTTTGATATAAAAAATTATATTGATTTTCTTACTCTTAAAGTTTAAAAAAAATTATCTAAGTTTGGTTTGATTTTTAGTTTTGGATTGATTTTGATTTTTGATAATTTTTTTGATTTTTTTAAAATTATACGTTTATAATTTTTTTCATATATGTTTTTAGATATTTTCGGTCAAAAATAAATTAAAATACTAATTTTTTATCATAAAAATTAAGCCATAATCTTTCAATTATCACATTAACTGAAATCTTATAAAATTAAATAATGAATCATCTAATTTTTTTAAGAAAATAATTAGAACGACATGTTTTTCATCACAAATACAATAAATAAATAAAAACACACTTATACGGACCTGCAAATAAAAGCTCACACGTGGCCCTGAAAAAATAGGTCAAACCTAATAGCTCATGGCTTTTGCTTATTTCTTTTGTTTTTCTAAAATATTTTTTTATTTTTTTTTAAATCAATGCTTTTTTATTAGGTTCTTGTTTCTAATTTTTTTATTTATTTATATTTAAATTAATACATGTTCTCTTTTTTATTTTATTTAGAGAGTATCTTTTAAATCATAATTATATTTTTGATTATGCATTTAAAATTTGAAGAGTTTTTATGATTCTTTTTCTTCTTTTTTTATCTTTTGTTTTTATAAACTTTATTTTTAAAAATAAATAAATATTATTTTTATATAATATTTCTAATATATACAGTTTTACATTGTGTTTCTTTTCTTTTTATTTTATTTAATCAATTTAATTTATGTTTCTGTTTCTATTATTATTTGCTTGAATTAAAATATTATTTTAATAAACAAATTTAACAAACACAACATAATAAATATTTCATTTTCAGAGATTAAATATCTTATTCTATATTTATTTTTTAATTTTTTAATTTTTATTTTTAGTTATTGTTTATGGTTTTTTTCATTTATTAACATATACAGTTCTTGATTTATTTAATTATATATATGCATAAGCTTTTTTGTTTTCATTTAAAAAAATATAAAAGCATGTTGGAAACACCAATGAATATATTTTTTTTAATTTGAAAAAAAAATTATTCAACCATACTAAATCGCGGATTAAGTATATAGTATTTTATAATTATTTGTGAGTTTTTTTTGTTGCAATTATTTTTTTAATTTGTTTTACCTGAAAATTTATTAAATTAATATTTTTTAAATGATTTTAATGTATTGATATTAAAATTAAAAAAAATAAAAAAATATTAAATTAATTATTTTCTATTAAAAAATACTTTTGAAAAAACATTACATCATAATATCAAATATATAAATAGAAATGTTTTCATTAAAGATAATATTAGAATTGATGTTTTCTAAAATAATTATTCAAATAAAAACTAAATATTTTTTTTCCTTAATCAACACCAAACTAAAGTAGAGTTCGAGGAAGAAACAAACTCCAACTTGTATTACTCTTAAGATTGTGGATGTGATATATTTTTAAATTTAAATTATATATTCAATAAATTTAAAAATATATTAAAATAATATTTTTTATTTTTAAAAAATTGGTTTGATTATCAACACATCAAAATAATATGATCTAAAAATATAAAAAAAATACTAATTTAAAATAAAAAAATAAATAAAATTTAAATTTTTTTAAAAATACTTTTAAGACATAAAAAAAACAAACATGAACTAAATTTAAAAAATATAATACTTGATTGTTGCTATGATTTAAAATATCTTTCAAAGATATTTTTATTTGAAAATACTTTAAAATAGTATTTTTTTTTTATTTGAAAATACTTTAAAATAGTATTTTTAAAAAAAATAATATTATTGAAACTACAAAATTATTAAAAAATATATATTAAAAAAATATCAATTTAAATTTGTATTTTATCAAGTTAACTATACATTTAAAACACATATAAATACAGTTTCAAGCTCCCGAACAAACAGCGCTTAAAGGCAAGTTAGATCAGGTAAAGACTACTCTCTCAATGGCATGGGAATAACATCTTATCCATTATTATTAACCTTGTGCAAGTGCGACTACAGGCTAATTAAGTTACAACACTGAAGGCTCAAACGGCGCTGGTAATGCAGAAGAAAAGTCCAACTGTCCAAGGACGAATCTAAAAAGAATACCAACACCACAAGTTGGAATGTTACAACAAATTTATCTTGTAACTCAATTGCTATCATCCACAACTTGATTGTTTGCGTATAGATTCTCCCTTCTTTTAGGGTAACCTGTAGATTCCAGGGCTGGACCCCTAAATTTTAGATCTGAAGATGCTCTATAATTGGGATCAACAGAAGTAGGTCTAGCACTGGCATCAGTGGAACTCGGCCTGAAGGAACTGGTTGCTCCCCCGGTGTATCGCGGAGGAGAAGGATACCCCCTTGATCTAGGTCTCAATCCACTAGCCCTTAAGTCCATCATATCACTACTTCTTGAAGATGAATCCACAAATGACCTGTCTGCAGAGGCCGACGACCCTAATGGAGCTCCAGTTGTAGCAGATGTGGAGCTAAAAGGATCATCAGGCCCCCACGATGTAAGGGCTTCCTTCTTCTTGGCAAAGAATTGCCATGCTCCAAACAGAAAGAGTATGAATAACAACACAGGACTTGTCCATAGCATTGTGTTGAATTCTCCTTTAAATATTGGAAGGTTGGAACGATACATTCCCACATACCCACTCCCGAGGCCAAGAACAAGAAGTTTTTCACGGTCACTCGCAATTAATGGTATCACCCTTCTTCTCTCGATGTTTGCATCTGCCGACTGATAATTCAGAAATGATGATTTGATCTCATCCAGAAGAGCAGAGAAGAGAAGGCGAGGTCCCCCAACCCTAACATAATGCTGAGATGAAACATTGTACACAAAAACCTTCTCTTCGTTAACAGCAAACAAGTAGCCCTTAATCGATTGTAAGGCAAGAGGTTCATCCATGTCAAATTTTCTCTTGGATCTGACCCTGCATTTGAAGTTCATTATATCCCCTAACAACAATACATTAATCAAATCCCCTTCTGATGTAAATCCATATGCTTTAGACCGTTCAGTGGCATCAAAAACATAATTCCGAGCAAGAGTTTGGTTCAAACCTTCACATTCAGATTCTCTGACTTTCATGCTCCTCAAATCCAATGACCCTGCACCACTTTCTGTCAAAAACAAAAGCCTTTGCTTCAAGAATGCAAGTGGTTTACTTGTGGGAATAGCAGAACCATGAACAGTCCCATTTTCCCTAAAAACCCTAATCACCCCACTAACATCCGATGACAAGATATACCTTGATCTGCCGACATGATGCACTTCCAAGATACTTATAGGTGAACCTTGTTCCCCATTCTCAAGGAACGCAAACTTACCAACATTTTCCATAGAAATTGTGCTCCACTCCTCCCCGTTCGACACATCATGTAGTTTATGCACCAAAACTGCCCCATTCTGATGCCCTGTTACCACAGTACTCTCATTCCTATAAGCCGATAAATACGAAACCATAGCTGTAATTGGTGAAGAAGACATTGTGTAAAACTCAACCACAACATCCCCATTCCTTAAAAACACATAAACCCTCCCTCTATCATCACCAACAGCTACATACTTGCTAAGCCCCTCGTAATCTCTAAATGGCAAAACATGGATACACGTTGCATCAGAATCTAATTTCACAGCAGACACGAATTGAAACCTCTCTGACCAAAATGGACTGTACTTTGTAACTGAAACGGCCCCCACTCTCTCTCCATCTCTAGTCTTGGCCTCTAATCCCTCTTCTTCAACTTTTCGAACCAATCTCTTACCATCAAAACTTCCCTGATTAATCCTTTCTGGCTCTTGATTCTGTTCTCTATCAACAGATGCTACTTTTGGTAACTCAGATAATTTAGGCTCTAATTTAGCAACTATTTCACTGAGGTTCCTCACTAGTTGTTCAAGTTTATTTAATAAAACTTCCTGTTGATTAAGCTCAATTCTAGAGTCAGTCTCGCGTTCACGATAAGGAGCATAGTGGATATCATGCTCGAGCTCTTGTTGGGTTGAGACGGAGCTCGAGTCTGCCAAAATTCTAGACGGGGAACAAGAAATGAAAAGCAAATAGAGGAAAAGGAACAACTTGCCTTGGTGGGAATTTGCCATTGAAGAAGCTTGACAAAGTCGTGTATCAGTGTGTTGCTGTTGACATATTTTGTACAGCGGAATTGCAGATCTTTGGTGTCTGGATCTAAATATTGTAGGGAAGTTAGCTGG